CCTCCGCCGCCTCCTCCACCTCCGCCTCCTCCGCCACCTCCACCGCCTCCGCTCCCTCCTCCACTACCGCCGCCTCCTCCGCCTCCACTATTGCTGCCTCCGCCGCCACCCCCGGCACCACTCCCACCACCACCCCCACTCCCTCCACTGCCTCCACCACCACCTCCACTGCCCCCTCCAGCCCTTCCAGCGCCCTTGGCCCCCTTGCCCTTGCCGGTGTGGCGTCTCTAACGAGAAGTGAGAATGGAATGAATGAACTATGAAACAGTTGTGTACAAGTGCTAACCCTAATTGGGTTGTACCCCTTGTGGGCTACCCCACTACAACCTACACAAATGTATAAGCTATAATGTTCTGACACACCCCGATAGGCAAAGTGGGGGAGAACAAGTGGTCACAAGACCAGTCAAGCAAAACAAAGCAAATCAAAGTAAAGCAAGGTCAGGGTGGATCACAAAGTCACCACACAGTCCGAGCACAAGAGTAAAGGCCACAAGGCCAGTTCACACGCAAGGTCATATATATAAAGGTAAAACAAGCAAGGGCATGTATAGAAAGAATACACTATAAACAAGATTAAGAAGTGAGCAAGTGAGGCCACGTAGGCACAAGACCTAGCACAGTACAGAAGCGCTGATGATCACAAGGCGGAAGGGCCTTAGTGAAGATATCAGCAGTGTTGGCCTCAGAGGCCACGTAGGTGACGCGGAGCTGACCACGCTGTTGCAGCTCACGAGACAAGAAGTAGCGGAGAGCAATGTGCTTCGTTCTGTGCTCCAGTCTGTGCTCCCGACACAAGGCCAGCATGGCCTTGTTGTCTACATAGAGAACTCGAGGAGAACGAGGCGGCTCTCCGAGGTCAGTCAGCAGGTAGGTGAGCCAGCGTAGCTCCTGTGCAGCCATGGCCCCTGCGTAGATCTCAGCCTCACAGCTGGAGCCGAGAACAGAGGACGAGCGGGTAGACCGCAACGAAACAGAGCCGGAGCCAAGGCTGAAGGTGTAACCTTGTGACAACCGCTGTGTAGCCTGGTCGTCAGCCCAAGAAGCGTCAGCGTGACCTGTAAGGACTACTCGACGTCGCCATCCAAGCACTAGCCCCATGCCCGACATACTGCACACGTAATGCAACACCCTCTTCACTGCAGCCTTGTGCTCTGGTCTGTGTCTCCTAGGAGCAACATAGCGTGCCAAGATGCTTAGAGGGTATGCAAGGTCAGGTCGTGTGTAGGTCATCAGGTACGTGAGGCAGCCAACAAGCTCTGTGTACGGGCCACTCGACTCTAGGGACTCATCCGAAGGCAGAGCTGAGAGCGAGTGGCGAATAGACAAAGGAGTGGCCTGAGGCGAGGAGTATGTGAAGCCGAAGCACTGAAGGACCTGCTGCACCATGTGTGACTGAGTCAGGGTAATGGTGCGCTGTGCTCTGTCTCGGGTGATCTACAAGCCAAGGTAGCTACGCAGTTCACCCAGGTCTGTGCACGTGTGTCTCTTGTGCAGCAAGTGGGCGAGTCCAGCAGTGGCAAAGACCAAGTCGTCAACGTACACGAGGATGTAGAACGGCGGCAAAGAGGTGTCGGTGCGTAGAAACAGCGACAGATCGGCTGTAGAAGGAGCAAACCCAAGAGCCGCAAGGGTAATCGTGCCACTCACGAGGCGCCTGGCGGAGACCGTAGACTGGCCGCCGGAGGCTCCACTGGGTACCACGAGGAAACGACCCAGTGAAGCCAGGAGGGCTGTGCAGCCAGATCTCCTGGTGAAGGCTGCCCTGCACGAAAGCTATGCTGAAGTCAAGAGAGTGAAGCTCGTAGTCGCGCTGAGCGGCTATGTGCAGCAGCACCCGAAGAGTGGTCATCTTCGGGGTGGGAGAGAAGGTCTGAAAGTAGTCAACTCCCTGCCGCTGACTGACGCCTCGAGCCACGTAACGCGCCTTGAAGATTGGCGGAGAGCGCGGCGGCCGCTTCACCCTGAAGATCCACATCCCACTGACGATGTTCGCCCCACGTGGGGGAACCTCGTCGACGTAGGTGCCTGTGGGTTTCTAGGAAGCCATCTCTGCGTCCATGGCCGATTGTCACTCTGAGGAGTAGGGACCCTCGATCGCCTCAGCGTACGATCGAGGAGTCGGGATGTCAGGTGCATCTGGGTCTCCCTCAGGGGCAATCAGCGTGGACACGAGATGGGGCAAAGCATCAGCAAAGCACTGGAACTCCTCCTGCCTGTCCTCAAGGACGTCCGTGCTAAGAGCACACTCACCCCCAACACACGGAGGACAGACATACTCAGACTTAGCAACGAGACTGGCAGCGTAGTCTAGACGACAGCGAGCAGCGAAGTCGACAAGCTCAGCAACTAGAGTAGACGCAGCAGCGTACTTAAAGGAAGGGTCAGTGACGATAGTGGCAAGAAGGCGCATGACCGAAGGACTAGCAGCATGAAGGGATTCAGACTCGGGGTCAGCAACAGAAGGAAGAGAGGACTCTGGAAGAGATGGAAACGGGACACGCAGAGGAGCAATGGAAGGACGTAGTGCCATCTGGTGTGTGCCGAGGACCGCAGGAGGACGCGGACGTGCAGTACGACCACTAGTGTGTGCACCACGAACAAGCGACGCAGGACGAGACGCAGGCTGACGATGCTCAGCAAGACCTCCAGTAGGACCAGTGTATAAAGAGGGAGCAGGTAGAGGGGAGGCGGGCTGTAACTGTGACTGCGACTGGACAGGTTGTGGACACTCTAAGGGAGGAGCTGGACCAGTAGAGGGCGGGAGACCAAGAACCTGCTCCAGGAGCGGAACGAAGTACGGTCTCGGCCGCGCAGCGCCTCCAGAACTAGCAAGGACGGCACTAGTACCCCCAGCGGCAGCACCAGTGCCAGTAGTACCCCCAGCTCAAACAGCGCCAACTCCAGCACCCCCAGGAACACCAGCGCCAACAGCACCGCCAGCGACAACACCCCTAGTAGCTCCAGCTCCAGCAGCACCAACTCCAGCAGGACCGTCAGCACCAGTTGCCTGAGGAGCACCACCAGACGCACCAGCACCAAGAGAAACACCGGCGCCAACACCCCCAGCAGCTCCACCTCCAGCAGCACCAGCACCAACAGCAGCTCCAGCAGCACCCCAAGACTCAGTAGCACGTCTCCAGTGGCGGGCGAACCACTCGCGCAGCTCCTGTGGAGAGAGCGGCTCCCGCCTCAACGAAGCACCGCCGGCGGCCACACGAGCAGACCCAGCACCCCCAAGCTCCGCACCCCAAGGCTCAGCACCCCCAGGCTCAGCACCTTGAGACTCAGCACCCCCACGCTCAGCACCCCTAGTCTTAGCACCCCCGGACTCAGCACCCCCAAACTCAGCACCCCCAGACCCTGCACCCGCAGGCTCAGCACCTCTAGCAGCACCAGAGTCAACAGCTACCTTGACAGGCTCGACTGTGTCTACCTGGGACACACCTGAAGGGGCAGAACCTGGAGGAGGGAGGGGGTCTACCTAGGTAGCACCTGGTGCAAGGAAGAGCGGGAGCGGGGGGAGGGGCGCACTACGCTAGGGGAAGAGACGGTAGTAAGGCACCGACTCGTCAAAGGTGACGTCCTGGGAGGACAGAACACAGCGCGTGGTGGGGTGGTAAAACTACCAACCAGGCGCGTCAGGGGGGAAGCCAAGGAAGACGCAAGGAACAGCACGGGGGGACAGCTTGTACGCAGACAAGTCGGGGACAAACGCCCGAGATCCCTTGACCCGAAACGCAGACGCATCGCCAACCTTCCCTGTCCACCGCAAGGCGGAGGAGGTATCTGGCAACAAGACCCGAGGCTGAGGATGAGCTCATGCGCGGCACACTGAACCGCAAACGGCCACAGAAAATGGGGGGCAGCCTCATGCATCATGGACGTACGAGCGACGTCCATGACCATGCCAATGCGGCGCTCAGCAATCCCATTTTACTCTGGAGAGGCCGGAAGCGTCAAGGTCTGGCGGATGCCCTGTGCCCGACAGGAGGCTCCCAGAAGGGCAGAGGAAAACTCCCCGCCTCTGTCCAAAAGCAGACGCAGAACAAGAAATTCCGAGCCGAAACTCTCTCGGAGCTGGAGACGAGCTGCGCGAATCCAGTCGATCAACACCTCAGTGACGTCACCCTTGCTGCACAAGGGGAAGACTGTGGTGTAACGCGAGTAGTCGTCAACGACCAGCAGAAAGTACCGCTCTCTCCCCTGCCCACTGACGCGAGCTGGGCTCCACACGTCCATGTGTAGAGTCTGCAGCGGAGCCTCTGTTGGAGGAAACTCGGAGGAGTGAGGGGCGGCGCGCTGTCGCCCCTTGACGCAGGGGACGCAGGTAGGGCCAGGCCCCGGAGGAATGGGAGGGAGAGACCGAGGAAGACTAGAGACAAGGACACGGGAGGCCATGCCTCGGAGACGAGGCAAGGAGGGGTGACCAAGGCGGTGGTGCCAAAGGAGAGTCTGGTGGGACAGCAGACGACACGAGCAGGGGGCAGACTCAGGACCAGACCTGGACACCGCAGAAAGCACCTAACTCGACGCAGCTACCTGGGCAGACTCACCAGCACCTGGGGCGGCAGACGCACTAGCACCTGGGGCAGGACACGCACTAGCACCTAGAGTAGTAGCCTCACCAGCACCTAGCGCCGTAGCCTCAATGCCTAGGTCAGGCGGTACACATAGGTAATAGGCACCCTTATCACTATCAGCAACAACATACATGGCAGCAAGAATAGCATCAAAGTCAATATCAAAGATAGCAATCCCGGCCTTAGCCAGATCTCCCCAGCATGGGATTCTGACGCCTCAGGGAAATGGCGACGCCACGCGTCCGTCACGCGACCAAAGCAACGCTGGGTGGAGTGCGGACCTCCGCACTGCTCACCAGTGCGGTCGCCGGTACGGAGAATGTAAGAGCAGGGACCAAAACCCCCACCGCGCTGGCGTGCAGTGTACCACTCACGAAGCTGCTGAGGGGACAGGGTCACACCACTCAGCTGCTGCTGCTAGCGCTGACCACCACCAGCGCCACTCCTCGGCGCAGAGTCGCGACTTGCTCCACCACCGCCGCCTCCGCCGCCGCCTCCGCCTGGGCCGCCTCCTCCACCTCCACCTCCTCCACGATCTCTGCTGCCTCCGCTCCCTCCGCCACCTCCACCGCCTCCGCCGCCTCCACTGCTGCCGTTGCGGTCGCCACCCCCGGCACCACTCCCACCACCACCCCCACTCCCTCCACCGCCTCCACCACCACCTCCACTGCCCCCTCCACCCCCTCCAGCACCCTTGCCCCCCTTGCCCTTGCCGGTGCGGCGTCTCCCGCTCGTGGGAGACGCAGCGCCGACCGACTCTAAACCAACGAGGTCGGCCGCAGTAGTAGAGGCAACAGAGGGCAAGAGGGGGGAGGGAGAACACCCCTCAAAGACGGGGGTGTGAGGGTCACCACGAGAGGCTCCTACATTGACTATGCTCTTCTCTATCGCTAGGAGGGCCTTCTCGAGGAGGTCAACAGTGAGAGTGGTGGGGCAAACTGCGAGGAAGTGGTCCCTGACTACGCGGAGAGAGTCTGGGAGCCGGGTGACTATGTAGTAGAGGGTGATGTACATGGGGGGGGGGGTTCTTTGCGCAAAACTCAGCAGGAAGGGCAGCGCGGTAGCGAGTGTCACTAGTGCGGAGGTGCGTAATGAGGTCAGCGAAAGTGGGAAAGGCAGCAAGGTCAGGGAAGAGGTACGGTAGCATGAGGCGGCTCAGTGCAGTAGTGGCAAGGGAAGAGTAGCGTGCAACTACAACGTCGTACAAGGTCTGAGCACTCTTCCAAAGAGAGTAGGAGCACGGCCTAGGCTTAGTAGCCTAGGCCACGGAAGGAGTAGAGCGATGAGGCACCAAGTACGAGCTAGGGTTGTGTGCAGGAATAGAATTGAGAAGGAATGATTGAACTAGCAAGCAGCAGGATACAAATAGCAAACCCTAAGGGTCTGTACTCACTATTGAGTGCCCCACTGCAGGCTACACAAACAACATATTCTGACACACTCTTGTACTGGCTAATGTGTGCACGCTCAGTGGTCGGCAAGTGACGGCGCACAGCAAGGCGAGCAGCAGCATCACGTGTGGCCCACTGTGAGCGAACAGTGGCGTCAGCATCAGCAGCAGGGGCAGGGGAGGCACCAGAAGTGAGGTCAAACAGGTAGAGGCCGTCTCCCCTATCGCACTGCAGGAAAAGCTGCAGGTCATCTACCTTGACCTCAAAGTCCACTGCCCAACCCTCAGCGTCAAAGGTGAGAAGGCTAGGGGAAGCCATAATAGCAGTAGGCAGGGCAGTGCAGTGGCAGAGACTGTGCTCTTGCCAGGTAGGTGGGGCGATCGGGCTGCTCAGCGGCTCGGGTGTCGGGCGGCTCTGCTGCAGGGCGGCTCGGCTGCTGGGCGCCTTGGCTGCTGGGCGGCTCGGCTGCTGGGCGGCTCGGCTGCCGGGCGGCTCGGTTGCTGGGCGGCTCGGGCGGTCGAGCGGCTCAGCTGGCCGGCGGTTCGGCTGCTCGGCGCTGCGGGCGCAGGGCGGCGGGGTCGTAGGTGGTGGCGAGGTCGCGAGGGTTGGCGGGGCCGCGGTGGCGACTGGGCCGAAGTGGGGCCGTAGCGAGGCCTTAGCAGGGCCGTAGCAGGGCCGAAGTGGGGCCAGAGTGGGGCCGACGGGGCCGTAGTGGGGCCTAAGTGGGGCCGTAGCGGGGCTGACAGGGCCGCAGCGGGGCATAAGCGGGACCGACGGGGCCTAAGCGGGGCCGTAGCAGGGTTGACGGGGCCTAAGCGGGGCCGACGGGGCCGTAGCGGGGCCGTAGCGGGGCCATAGTGGGGCCGACGGGGCCTAAGCGCAGCCGACGGGGCCGTAGCGGGGCCGTAGTGGGGCCTAACCAGGGCCGTAGCGGGGCCGACTGGGCCTAACCAGGGCCGTAGGGGGGCCGTAGCGGGGCCGACGGGGCCTAAGCGGGGCCGACGGGGCCGTAGCGGGGCCGTAGCAGGGCCTAAGTGGGGCCGTAGTGGGGCCGACGGGGCCATAGCGGGGCCTAAGCGGGGCCGTAGCGAGGCCGCGATGGTGCCGTAAGCGGCCTAAGCGAGGTCTTAGAGGGTGGCTCGAGGGGCAGTAAGGGCGGCCAACAGGGGCCACGATGGCGGCTCGAGGCACTACTTGGGTTAGGAGCTAAGCGCGCTCCGGGCAGGGAAGGAAAAAAAAAGTTCGTGGTGGGCCCTAGGCAGTATTCCCACTCGGGAACCTGCTCGATACCATGACGAGAAGTGAGAATGGAATGAGTGAACTATGAAACAGTTGTGTACAAATACTAACCCTAATTGGGTTGTACCCCTTGTGGGCTACCCCACTACAGCCTACACAAATATATAAGCTATAATGTTCTGACAGTCTCCCGCTCGGGGCAGACGCAGCGCTGGCCGACTCAAAACCAACGAGGTCGGCCGCAGCAGTAGAGGCAATAGAGGGCATGAGGGGGGAGGGAGAACACCCCTCAAAGACGGGGGTGCGAGGGTCACTACGAGAGGCTCCTACATCGACTATGCTCTTCTCTATCGCTAGGAGGGCCTTCTCTAGGAGGTCAACGGTGAGAGTGGTGGGGCAAACTGAGAGGAAGTGGTCCCTGACTACGCAGAGAGAGTCAGGAAGTTGGGTGACTATGTAGTAGAGGGTGATGTAAATGGGGGGGGGGGGGGGGGGGTTCTTGGCGCAGAACTCAGCACGAAGCGCAGCGCGGTAGCGAGTGTCACTAGTGCGGAGGTGCGTAATGAGGTCAGCGACTGTGGGAAAGGCAGCAAGGTCAGGGAAGAGGCACGGTAGCATGAGGCGACTCAGTGTAGTAGTGGCAGGGGAAGAGTAGCGTGCAACTACAGCGTCGTACAAGGTCTGAGCACTCTTGTACTGGCTAAAGTGTGCACGCTCAGTGGTCGGTAAGTGGCAGGCGCACAGCAAGGCGAGTAGCAGCATCGTGCGTGGCCCACTATGAGCAAACAGTGGCGTCAGCATCAGCAGCAGGGGCAGGAGAGGCACCAGAAGTGAGGTCAAATAGGGAGAGACCGTCTTGTCAGATTTATATGACATAGTTACTGTAGGCTATAGTGGGGCAGCACATATGGGGTACAGGTTTCTAGGGTTGTATTTGTACCCAATATTTCCTTAGTCATTTCATTCCTGTTCTACAACTTTCACATGGTATAGAGCGGGTTCCCTGTGGGAACTTTGCCTAGGGCCCACCGAAGCGCGCCCCGAGGCGCGCTAACTTTTTTTTCTCTCTCGAGCGACCCTCCGTGTCGCCCTTCCCTCGCGGCCCCGCCGCCCCTTCAGACGCGGCCCCGCCGCCCTTTCAGACGCAGCCCCGCCCGCCCTCTCAGACGCGGCCCCGCCGCCCACTCTGACGCGGCCCCGCCGCCCGCTCAGACGCGGCCCCGCCGCCCTCTCAGACGCGGCCCCGCCGCCCTCTCAGACGCGGCCCCGCCCGCCCTTTAAGACGCGGCCCCGCCGCCCACTTCGAACGCGGCCCCGCCAGCCCTTTCAGACGCGGCCCCGCCGCCCATCTCGGACGCGGCCCCGCCGCCCCTTTCGGACGCGGCCCCACCGCCCTTTTAGACGCGGCCCCGCCGCCCACTCCGACGCGGCTCCGCCGCCCGCTCAGACGCGGCCTCGCCGCCCGTTCCGACGCGGCCCCGCCGCCATTACTCGCGGCCCCACCGCCTTGTCGCGGCCACCCCGCCCTGGCGCGGCCCCGCCGCCTCCTACCTGCGGCCCCACAGCCGCCTCAACGACGGCCCTTTGCCGCCCTACCCGCGGCCCAACGGCCGCCCAACAGCGGCCCACCTGCCGCCCTACCTGCGGCCCGCCCGCCGATTTCCCTGCGGCCCGTCGCCGCCCTACCAGCAGCCCACCCGCCGCTCTGCCCGCGGCCTACCCGCCGCTCTACTCGCGGCCCTACAGCCGCCCTCCCTACGCGGCCCAGCAGCAGCCGAGCCGCCCAGCCGCAGCCAAGCCGCCAAGCCGCAGCCGAGCCGCCCAGCAGCAGCCGAGCCGCGCAGCAACAGCCGGGCCGTCCCGGCACAGCTGAGCTGCACAGCACCAGTCGTGCCGCCCAGCAGCAGCCGAGCCGCCCCGGCGCAGCCGAGCCGCCCAGCACCAGCCGAGCCGCCCAGCAGTAGCCGTGCCGCCCAGCAGCAGCCGGGCCGCCCAGCCGCAGCCGAGCCGCCCTGCAGCCGTCGAGTCGCCCTACCTGCCCTGTCTGGTGAGCACAACACTGCCCTACTGCTACTCGTGCCCTTCCCCACTGCTTGCACAGCTAGTCTGTCGTCATGGCTACCCCCAGTGTCCTAGCTTTTGATGCTGAGGGCAGAGCCATTGACTTTGAGGTCTAGGTCAACAACCTGCAGTTGTTTTTGCAGTGCGATAGGGCAGACGGTCTTTCTCTTTTTGACCTCACCTCTGGCGCCTCTCCTGCTCCTGCTGCTGATGCTGACCCCACTGTTTGCTCTCAGTGGGCCACCCGCGATGCTGCTGCGCGCCTTGCTGTGCGTCGCCACTTGCCCACCACTGAGCGCGTGCACTTTAGTCAGTACAAGAGTCCTCAGACCTTGTACGACGATGTAGTTGCGCGCTACTCCTCCCCTGCCACTGCTGCACTGAGCCTTCTCATGCTACCCTACCTCTTCCCTGACCTCACTGCCTTTCCCACTGTCGCTGACCTCATTACGCACCTCCGCACTAGTGACTCTCGCTACCGCGCTGCCCTTCCTGCTGAGTTTTGCGCCAAGAACCCCCCCCCCATGTACATCACTCTCTACTATGTAGTCGCACGCCTCCCTGACTCCCTTCGCATAGTCAGGGACCACTTTCTCTCAGTCTGTCCCACCACCCTCACTGTCGACCTCCTCGAGAAGGCCCTCCTAGCGGCGGAGAAGAGCATCGTCGCTTTAGGAGCCTCTCGTGGTGACCCTCGCACCCCCATCTTTGAGGGGTGCTCTCCCTCCCCCCTGCTGCCCTCTGTTGCCTCTTCTGCTGCTGCCGACCTGCTTGGTCTTGAGTCGGTCGGCGCGGCGTCTGCCCCTAGTGGGAGACGTCGCTCTGGCAGGGGCAAGGGGGGCAAGGGCGCGGGTGGAGCTGGAGGAGGCGGTGGAGGTGGAGGTGGAGGCGGCGGAGGGAGTGGGGGTGGCGGCAGGAGTGGTGGCAGGGGTGGTGGTGGTGGTGGCAGCGGCGGAGGAGGCGGCGGTGGTGGCGGCAGCGGTGGTGGTGGTGGCAGCGGTGGAGGTGGAGGCGGTGGAGGAGGCGGAGGAGGAGGCGGTGGTGGCGGAGGGGGTGGAGCTGGTCGGGGTGGTACCCCGCAGCGGAGCGGCACTAGTAGTGGTCAGCGCCCGCAGCAGTAGCAGCAGCAGCAGCGTTTGCGGGACATCCCTCCGCCCCAGCAGCTCCGTGAGTGGTACACTCAGCGTTAGAGGGGTGGGGGTGCTGGTCCGTGTACCTACGTCCTTCGTTCAGGCGACCACGCGGGTGAGCAGTGTGGGGGTGCCCACCCCACCCAGTGCTGCTTTGGCCGCCTGACGAACGCTTGGCGTCAACAGTTCCCCGAGGCTAGTGAGATTCCCCGCTGGGATGAGCTTCTTAGGGCTGGTGTAGCGATCTTTGATCTTGACTTTGATGCTATCCTTGCTGCTATGTATGCTCTGACTATTAGTGAGGAGGGTGACTGTTACCGGTGTTTCCCGCCCGACCCGAGCATTGGTACTGCTGCGCTAGGTGCTTGTGAGGCTGTTGCTCTAGGTGCCAGTGCGTCTGCGCTCTCAGGTACTGGTGAGACTGCGCTCTCAGGTACTGCGTCGCCTTCGTCCTCCCTCACTTTCACACTTGACTCCGGGGCTTCTCGCTCCTTCTTTCGAGACCGCACCACCCTCACGCCGCTTGGCCGGCCAGTTGTAGTCTCTCTGGCTGACCCCTCTAGGGGTCCTGTCCTCTCTCACTTTTCCACTGTCCTCCCATGTCCGGCTGCACCCTCGGGCACCCTGTCTGGTCTGTACCTTCCCTCGTTCTCGACGAACTTGGTGAGTGGTGCGGACCTACAGGATGCGGGGGTTCACCAGTTCACTCCTGCGAGTCAGCGGGTGACCCACTACACGGACGCAGGCACAGGCCGGCACCTGGCCACGTTCTCGCATCGGCCGGGGTCGAGCCTCTACATCCTGACCACTACGTCTCCTCCTGTCCCTGCGTCTGGTCAGGTAGCTGCGTCAGGTCAGGTGTTTGCTGCTGCGTCCCGGTCTGGCCCTGAGTCTGCCCCCTGTTCGTATCGCCTCCTGTCTCACGAGACCCTCCTGTGGCACCACCGTCTTGGCCACCCCTCCTTGCCCCGTCTTCGGGGCATGGCTTCCCGTGTCCTTGTCTCTGGTCTTCCCCAGTCTCTCCCTCCCCTTCCTTCGGGACCAGGACCTTCCTGCGTCCCGTGTGTCGAGGGGCGCCTCCGGGCTGCTCCTCACTCCTCCCAGTTTCCCCCGACAGAGGCTCCTCTGCAGACACTTCACATGGACGTGTGGGGCCCAGCCCCCGTCCGTGGGCAGGGTCACGAGCGCTACTTCCTGCTGGTGGTTGACGACTGCTCGCGTTACACCACAGTCTTCCCCTTGCACAGCAAGAGTGCTGTCACTGAGGTGCTGATCGACTAGATCCGCGAGGCTCGTCTCCAGCTCAGGAGGAGCTTCGGGTCGAACTTTCCT